GTTTCCTGTAGAGAAGGCGGCATAGCATGGGGGTCTCACAGGACCGAGGTTCCAGGGTCTGCCATTCCCTGGCTGCATGACCTGTCACGTCTCCTGCCTCAGTTTCCCTGTCTGAAAGGGGAGATGGCTTGTCCCACTCACAGCGGACACTGGCTGTGCTCACTGGGAAGTGCCGCTCGCAGGGGGTGGGGGAAGGACAAGAATGAGAGTCACATGCCTGCGGTCCAGGTGCCCCAAGCTCCCCAGCCCCACATCACTCCCCACCCCCAGAGGCGACAGACCCTCACATCACAGCCCCAGAGGCGGGTCCCAGCAAGCCCCGCAAAACGCACGGGTGTTTCTGGGAGGGACAGGGGACTCCAGGCTCCCCACCTCGGCCAAGCCCTTCCCCTCAGGATTGTAGACTCCTGCAATCTTCAGGCACCCATTGGGGGGCATGAGACTTGGGGTGCACAGCCCAGCAGGGAACAGGCGGCTCCTGCCTGCCTGTCATCAGAGTGCCCTGACGGCACTCCCTGGACAGCCCAGCCCCGGCCCCATCTTCCTCCTGGGCGCGGTAACCGCTCTCACCTTCAGATTTGCCAAGCACAGCTTGAATCTTTGTGGATTTCCCTGGCAAATGTGGGAAGACTGTTCGCTCCGACCACCCCACAGGTGGGCTGAAGGGCTTCGTTCCGGAGAGAGCCCGGTGGCTGGCATCCAAGGTGCCCCTAAAGCAACCCGCAGAGCCCCTGGGGAACAGGCCGGTGCCCCCTGGAGGGAGCGGGCAGAGACCCAGGCAGCCACCAAAAGCAGGGCCTAGTTCCTGTCTGTGTTCTGGCGCAACTGTTCCCACATTTTTTGCCTTCTGCTCCACCCTTTACAGGTGTTTGCTTTACTCTAAAAATAGAGTTATAAAATACATCGCATTTAATTTCTACGACAGTTAAATAATTTCCCCAAAAATTCTCAAGGAAAACGCAGGACGATGTACTTTGTCTCGTGGCTCCAGGAACAGCCACATGAGGAGAGCTGCCGTTCACTGGGCACTTAGCTTACCGTGTGCCCGTCCCGCGCTAAGCACTCTGCGTGCATTAACCCCATTCCGCGCTCCAGGCCTTGGATTATCCCCATTATACAGATTAGGAAACTGAGGCTCCCAGAGGTGAAGCAACTGGCCCAAGGTGGAGTGAGGGCCACAGGAAGGCGCTTTTCTGAGCTGAGTCCTTCGTTAGCCCCTGTGTGACCTTGGGAAGCTGAATTCGCCTGAGCCTCATTTCCTCATATGTAAGACGGGGGGGTGGGGCATGACAATACCTTCCTTACGGGGTGGCTAGAAGGGACAAACTGGATTTCTCACCCCTCCATCCATCCAACAGTCACCGAGCACTCCCAGCGGGCCAGGCCCTGGGCTGGACTCAGGCTACATACAGTGACCCGGACGCAGGTCCTCTCAGAGGCACCCAGACCAGGGGGCCACCAGCTGTGCAAGGCCCTGATGCAGACCCCGGCCTGACATCTGTCCGCCTCCAAACTGTGAGTATCAGGGGGAACGGAAATGCGCCCGTCCAATCTGCCCCCCCAGGCCCTGGGCTGGACTCAGGCTACATACAGTGACCGGACGCAGGTCCTCTCAGAGGCACCCAGACCAGGTGGGCCCCAGCTGTGCAAGGCCCTGATTCGGACCCCGGCCTGACATCTGTCCACCTCCAAACGGTGAGTGCCAGGGGGACCGGAAACGCGCCCGTCCAGTCTGCCCCGTGTCCTAGCGCCTGTGGGCCTGGCTCGAGACAGGGGTCCCACTAACACGTGCGGAGTCAGGGAGTGAGGGGTGGCCAGAGGGCACGGGGGCCTCCTGCCCTCTGCCCACAGCTGGCTGGTCCTCCTTCCCCAGCCGCACAGGGAGCAGGGCCCGGGAGGGCCGCTGCTCCTCTCCTCTGTCGTGATGGCTGCTCTTAGTTTTGATTGAGATCCTGTCCTGCTCGGGCCCAGCGAGGGCCTCGGCACAGGCAGCCTGGAAACAATAACCGCCCGACGTGGGCACGTGGGCGACGGAGCCGCGGAGGTGGAGCCCCGCCGGCGAGGCTTTGAGCTGTGGCGCTCCTGTCTGCCCGGCTCATACACCATATATTTTTGAACAGAAGGGAGGCATTCGCTTTCCCCCACAAGAGCCGAAAATAGCCCAGCTCCCGTCTTTGAACAGGAGCCTTTTGGTTCCTCAAAGAGACAGGAGCGGAGGGCCTGGGAGGAGGGGCCGTGCTGGCTGCTGGGGCCCTCCTGGTCTTCCCAGTCCCAGAAGGTGCGGTGGGCCTGGGGGCCTGGCTCGGCCAGTCCTGCCGGGGCCAGCCGCCCAGCACCTGACTCCTCAGGGCCCCCCACAAACCCTCCATCCGCAGCCCAGGAGGCAGGCGTGGGCTGGCGACAAACAGAAAGCCAGGACCCAAGATGGATGAGAAGGAAGTTCGTTAGCTCCTTCTCGGATGTATCTGATTTTTCATTCGTTCCAACAAATGGCACCAGGCTCTATTCCAGGAGCCGGGACACAGCGGCGACCCAGGCAGCAAGACGCGGGCCCGTCCTCACGGCCCGAGCAGCCCGATGGGAAGGGGAGAGCTAAACGTGTCCTCACCAGCAGGTAGCGGGGTCCCTGGCACGAGGTGAGTGTGGGCGAGGGTGGGTCCTGCCCTCGGAGGGACGAGGAAATGGAAGGGTCCCCCAGGGCCCGGACCCCACTCCACCCGGCAGCAGCACACAGGAGACATGTCCCCCTGGCTTTGGAGGCCACCAGGGCTCCGAGCTGGGGTTCCAGAGCCTTTGGCCAATGTCTTCACACTCATTCCACCCCCCAGGCTGGGAGGCCGGATTAGCATCTCTGCCCACTTTACAGACGAAACAAGGGGGCTCGACGGAAAGGGCCTGGCCGAGGTGCCAGAGCTCACGAGGGCAGCGGGGGGTTGCACCCCGACCCGCTGGTCCCCGAGCAGGAGCGGCGACACCACACGGCCCGTCTAACAAGCTGCCCGGTTCCGCGGAGGCTCAGAGTAGGAAGTGGTCACAGGGCTGCGACGTGGAGACCGGGGGACTTGAGCCCAGCCTGGCCGGCCTCCAAATCTGGGGACCCTTCTGTTCCCACAGCAGCTCCTTGGTTAGAAAAATAAAGAGGCCACTTTCTGTCCCCGAAAGGCCAGAGCGGTGGGGGAGGCAGAGGCTGCTGGAGAGAGAGAGAGACGGGAGCCGCTTCCTATGGAAGCCCAGGCCTGGAACGAAAGCAGGGAGCTATTTCTGCCTCGGGTTAAACATTCCTCAAATCCACATTCCTCCAGCCTCCTCCTTCCCCTGCCAGGGAGTGCAAGCACGGTGGCCCGGCTGCCCGCCAGCTCCCTGGGCCACCAGGGAGACCAGGAATGCCACAGCCAGCAGCTGCCCTGCGTCCCTTCCCGGGCACCCCCAAGCTGGGCACCGCCCCCTGGGTGACACCGTCTCACAGAGAGTGGGACTCGGAGAGGGGCAGCCGGAGGCCGCAGCAGGTCAGGCTGGAACCAGGACCCAGACTCTGACCCCCTGGCAACTCCCCTGCCCATCAGGCTGCAGGTCAAGGGCTCGGGTGGGTCCTATCTGGTCAGCCAAGGAGCAAAACAAAGCAACACCCGGTCGAGCACACAGGCCTGCCCTGTGCGAGGCTCCTGGCCGGCGCTGCCCAAACCCAAATCCCCCAGGTGTGTCCCAACCCTCAGGGAGCTCACAGGCGCCCGGGGCACTGCGGCCAGACCTCCGGATCCCACGGCCCCACCCATCACTGTGCCCCGCATCCCCCATTGCACCCGAGAGGACACAGACACTTCCGAGGCACCTGGGCCTTACCAGGCAGGTCGGCACAGGACAGCCAGGGGCAGCCTCGCTCTCCACAGCCTCACCCTCGGCTGCCCTCTGCCTCCCCGCCTGCAGGCTCCCGAGAGCAGGGAGGGTGCCAACACTTCCTGACGGCTCACTCTCCTGGACTCACAGGCTGGGAGGACTGGGCGAGGCCGGCACAGCACCGGCACGAGTTTGGCACCTCAGAGGCCCAAGTACCGGGCAGTGCCCACTGCCTGCTCCTACCGCCTTCCCACAGGCGCAGCTCTGCCTCCTCCCAGAGAAAGCCAAGCTGAGGCTGCCCCGGATCCCCTATGGGAATCAGAGCACCCGGGACAGTAGGGCCAGGTGCTCACAGCCAGAAGGATCCCACCTCCCCTTTGGCCAGGAACCCAGGATGCCGGGCCAGTGTCTGCGGCTCTAGCAGCTGCTTGAATGCCTCCCGTGATGGGGCGCTCACTACCCTCAAAGCAGCGCTAAGGTTACAAGGCTCACGGAGGTCGTGGGAGGCAGGCACGTGGTAGGAAGAGCATGGCTACGTCCAGATGAACATCGGAGCCTGAGCCCCAGCTCGGCCCCTGAACCTGCCTGGGCCCCTTTGCTTCATCTGTGAAATGGGCATATAGTCCCCACGCCCAGGGCTGTGGCGAGACCACACGGGGGAAGCTGTAGTCAGGCCGCACTTGGTGATGGGAGTCGTCATTACTGTCATTCCTCCCGCTGATATCTCCCCCGCCGAGGGCAGGTGGGCTCCTGGCGATCAGCGTGGCCGGGCAGAAGGCCGGGAAGTGGCAGCCATGTCACCTGGCCCCCGAGCAGGCAGCTGAGCAATCAGGTTTTTATTCAGGCTCCCAGCCTGTCTGTGCCCCGCCCTCCCCCCCATGCATGTCTACATTCACAACCTACACAGAGCTGCCTTGCACACACCGTGCACACGCTGGGCACAGACATGCCAGCTCACCCACTCCTGACACATGCCATGACCCCGTCACTCACACTCAGAGCATGCCCACGGGAACCAGGGCTCACACGTTTCTCAGCACACCCCCCACCGCACACCCACACCAGACACCCACACTCACTCACGCTCCCCGCACACCTCCACAGCGGCTCCTCTGCAGCCCCCACCCTCGCGGGGCCTCTGGCCACCACCCAGGGGCAAACTCCAGCCGCACCACTCACCAGACGTGTGGTCTTGGGCCAGCTCTGGCCCCTCTGATCCTCAGTTTCCTCATGTGTAAAATGGGAACGACCCGGGGCTGCTGGGAAGGGTCTGGGATGAATGCACGTGAGCCCTGAGCTGGGCCCGGATCACACGAACATGCCATGAAGCACCATGGTGACCGCCTCTGACCCTTTCGCATTTGATCACAGATCCTCCGTCACCACCGAAGAGCTGAGGGGATCACCCAAGACAAGCCACCATCCCGGTGTCTCTAGGACAGTGGTCCTCAGAATTTCAAGGCCCAGAAATCAGGATTTTAAAAAGATTCCCAAATAATTCTAATGTGCAGCCAAGGTTGAGAACCACTGCTCTAGGAGGGAATCCTGTCCCAGCTTGCAGGTGAGAAAATGGACGGAAGAGACTGGGTTGAGAACCACTGCTCTAGGAGGTAATCCTGTCCCAGCTTGCGGGTGAGAAAACGGACGCAGGAAGAGACTGCGAACGGAGCCTGGTCACCAGGCACCAGAGCCCAAGCTCACTCCGTCGGGCCCAAGTACAGCTTCCCCCAGAAGTCTCACCATCTGGCAGCCTGAGCATGTACAGAAAGGGAAACTGAGTCTCCGGGGGACCGGTGACTCTAGAGTCACTATCCGGGCCGCACCGGTTCTGGGACTAAAGCCCAGGCAGGTGTCTCTCCAGCCCTCTGAGCCCACATCCACGCGGGACCCTAAAATCCGGCATCCAGAGCAGGCTCGCCTTCCCAACCGGAAGAACGGGGGCCTGTGTGCACTCATGCAGCCATCCACTGACACAGAGGCTGTCCGCGGGTGCCACTCACTCCCCATTCAGCTGAGGGCCTGTGGCCGCGCACCCTGGGCCATGCACCTGTCTCCTGACTCCAAAGGCCAGGCCGCCTCCTCCATGTAGGAGCGTTAACTGAGCACCTACTACATGTCAGTCCCTCTGTCCACCTGTGGGAGGGGCTCACCTGGGAATCTTTTTAAAATCCTGATTTCTGGTCCTCAGAATTTCAAGCCCCAGAAATCAGGATTTTAAAAAGATTCCCAGGTAATTGTAATGTGCAGCCAAGGTTGAGAACCACTGCTCTAGGAGGTAATCCTGTCCCAGCTTGCGGGTGAGAAAACGGACGCAGGAAGAGACTGCGAACGGAGCCTGGTCACCAGGCACCAGAGCCCAAGCTCACTCCGTCGGGCCCAAGTACAGCTTCCCCCAGAAGTCTCACCATCTGGCAGCCTGAGCATGTACAGAAAGGGAAACTGAGTCTCCGGGGGACCGGTGACTCTAGAGTCACTATCCGGGCCGCACCGGTTCTGGGACTAAAGCCCAGGCAGGTGTCTCTCCAGCCCTCTGAGCCCACATCCACGCGGGACCCTAAAATCCGGCATCCAGAGCAGGCTCGCCTTCCCAACCGGAAGAACGGGGGCCTGTGTGCACTCATGCAGCCATCCACTGACACAGAGGCTGTCCGCGGGTGCCACTCACTCCCCATTCAGCTGAGGGCCTGTGGCCGCGCACCCTGGGCCATGCACCTGTCTCCTGACTCCAAAGGCCAGGCCGCCTCCTCCATGTAGGAGCGTTAACTGAGCACCTACTACATGTCTGTCCCTCTGTCCACCTGTGGGAGGGGCTCACCAGAGTCTCACAGCCAGGAAACGACCAGCTGGCCATCGAGCCCTCAGCACCGCTGCCCTGACCCTCAGCTAGGACTCCCACCCCCATTTTTTTAAAATATATTTTTATTGATTTCAGAGAGGAAGGGAGAGGGAGAAAGAGATAGAAACATCAATGATAAGAGAGAATCACCGATCGGCTGCCTCCTGCACGCGCCCCACTGGGGATTGAGCCCAAAACCTGGGCATGTGCCCTTGACTGGAATCGAACCCGGGACCCTTCAGTCCACAGGCCGATGCTCTATCCACTGAGCCAAACCAGCTAGGGCCTCCCACCCCCATTTGAAGTTACCTGGGAACTTGGCCGTGAACTTCTGTCTCTCCAGCCCTCCGAGCCCACATCCACGCAGGACCCTAAAATCCGGCATCCAGAGCAGGCCTGCCTTCCCCACCGGAAGAACGGGGGCCTGTGTGCACTCATGCAGCCACCCACCGACACAGAGGCTGTCCGCGGGTGCCACTCACCCTGGGCCGTGCACCTGTCTCCTGACTCCGAAGGCCAGGCCGCCTCCTCCCTGTAGGAGCGTTAACTGAGCACCTACTACATGTCAATCCCTCTGTCCACCTGTGGGAAAAGGCGCTCAGAGGGGGGAGGGGCTCGCCAGAGTCTCACAGCCAGGAAACGACCAGCTGGCCATCGAGCCCTCAGCACCGCTGCCCTGCCCTCAGCTGGGACTCCCACCCCCATTTGAAGTTACCTGGGAACTTAGCCGTGAACTAATGACCGTCTCTTTCCTGCCAAATAGACCACACCCAGGATGTGCAGCGTTCCCTCTTGTAATGATAGCAAAAGGGACAATCTGTTTACTCCATTACCTGACAGCAAGCGATATTTAGGACCAGATGAGCCAGATCTGAAGAAGCTTCAATGACGACAGCAAGACATCCCCACCTCGACCCCAACGGCCGACCCATCACGGCGCAATAGGGCGCCCCAATGGGAGGCACCGCCCTGGGTTCCCGCTATGTGACTTGGGGGCGAGATTTCACCCTCTGGTCCTTGGTTTGTCCATGTGTCAAACAAGGGCCTTGGACTGCGTGATCCCAAAGCCTCCTCCAGCTCAGAGATCCTAGGATTCCACTTAACGCAGTGGTTCTCAACCTTCCGGCCCTTTAAATACAGTTCCTCATGTTGTGACCCAACCATAAAATTGTTTTCGTTGCTACTTCATCACTGTCATGTTGCTACTGCGACGAATCGTCATGTAAATATCTGATATGCAGGATGGTCTTAGGCGACCCCTGTGAAAGGGTCGTTCGACCGCCAAAGGGGTCGCGACCCACAGGTTGAGAACCGCTGACTTAACGGCAATCAAGGAAATGGGCCTGAGATGGTGAGCTGCCTGCTTCTCCCCCCATCGCGTTGGCAACGACGGGGAGAAGCGATGCTGCTAGGGTCGCGACCCACAGGTTGAGAACCGCTGACTTAACGGCAATCCAGGAAATGGGCCTGAGACGGTGAGCTGCCTGCTTCTCCCCCATCGCCTTGGCAACGACGGGGAGAAGCGATGCTGTTCGGTGCTGGCCAGGACGCAGGGAAAGAGGCACCTCGTTTGCTTTTGCTCAAAATTTAAAGGGGAACACACTTTCCGGAGGGCAAGTGAAGTTTCCAATCACAAGCCTTCTAGGACGGCCCAGCCCTTCACCCCGCGGCGTCCTTGTGGGGAGTTTCCCTTTAAGAAGAGATACGTGCAGAGATGCTTGTGTGTATCATGAAAGCAACTTAACAGCCAAGGCAGGGGATTAAGTAAAAGGTTTCGTTCACGTGCTGCACCATTTAAGAGTCATGTTTTAGCCCCGCCTGGCGAGGCTCAGTGGTTGAGCGTCGAGATGTCGGTTCGATTCCCGGTCAGGACACAAGCCCAGGTTGGGGGCTGACATCCCAATGGGGGGTGTGCAGGAGGCAGCCAACCAATGATTCGCTCTCATCATTGATGTTTCTCTCTCCTTCTCTCTCCCCCTCTCCCTTTCTCTCTGAAATCAATAAAAAAAATATGTTTAAAATAAGAATTAAATAAATAAAAGTCATTTTTTAGATGAATGGTTAATGGCATAGGCACACATTCGCAGTGGTCAGGTTTTAACAAGTTAGAAAATGAAGAGTATATAATCCCAAATATACAACATAATGAAACCTCTGTACGGCGTCCTATTTAGTCTTCCTCCTAGATACACGCTGAATCTGTCCCTGGCATCATCGCCACCGGCACCATCATCACGTGCCTGGATCACAACCCTCTCCTGCCACCCTCTCCTCAACCCTCTCCACCCTCTGGACTACAGGCAAACACCATCTCCAAACCCAGATCGGACCTGTGTCCACCACCTCCATCCGTGCCCCCGCATCTGAAAACTGTCCAGATCCCTTCCTATGGGGCCTTGGCGAGGGATGACGTGAGCCCGGCCCCTGACCAGCTGCATCTCTCACTGCCCATGACCAGCCCCAGAGGGGCTCAGGCCTGGACTTGGGAGCAGAGGAAGCCGGGTCCAATGCCAAGGCCATGGTCAGGAGAAAGTGCCTTTACCTGACACGTGAGAGGCGCAATGCCAGAACGCTCTGGGCACCGGTGGACGGAAGGGGCCAGGTCACCTTTAACATGGAGCTGGAGGAGGCAGGTGGAGCTAGGACAGGCAGGAGTTGGAGGCCTGGGCTCTGGGACCCCGGGCGAGTCCCTGCCCCTCTCCGGCCTCCTCCGCTTCTCTCAACAAGGGGTCAGGCCACAGACCACTTAGCCCGCTCTGCTCTGGAGGACGGAGGACTTGATCCTAAAACCAGTTGCCACCAGGAGAGCTTGAAGTTCCCCTCAGAACCAGGCTCCATGCTAAACTCTCCATGTGCCCCGAATCCTCCCCATCTTTGGGGCTACTCTGATGGCCCCATTTTCCAGAGAAGGGAAGTGAAGCTCCACGAGACGGGGCTCACCCAAGCAAAGGACCAGAACCCCTGCCCATCCAGCCCCCAAGGCCTCCTTCCACCCCTGAGGCTGCTGTCGAGCAGTCCCCAACCCCCTTTTTAAAATTTACTGATTTTAGAAAGAAGACGAGGAAAGGAGAGAGAAAGAAACATCGACTTGTTGTTCCATCCACTTCCTGGTTGGTTCTTGCATGTGCCCTGACTGGGAATTGAATCCGGAACCTTAACGTATGGGGACGACACTCTAACCAACTGAGCTACGTGGACAGAGTCCCCCATCCCTTTCTGACCCACATCCTGGACCTCAAAGCGCTCCCCCATTTGGACCCACGGAGTCACATGAGCGGGTATTACGGAGGCTCAGAGAGGGTGAGCGACTTGCCCGAGGTCACAGAGCCTGAGTGGGACCCAGCCCCGTTCTCTGGGATATTGAGTTCTTTCCTAACAACAGACTTGATGTTTCCTGCCCAGATGCCCAACTGAGTGTCAGAGTCTGACCTCGATCCCTCTTGCTGCTGCCCTGTTAGCCGTGTGGACGGGAAGCAGCCTCCGTGACCTTACCCCGTGCACGCAGGAGGCACAGGGGCTGCAGCCGCCGCCTCCCCCTGGGCCTTCCCTCTCCTGGTGGCTGACCCCTGCTCACCAGCCTCACCAACGAGCTGGAAGAACGTGGGCCGGACCTCAAAAACACACCTGGCTGTGGGGCCCTCCACACCCCACCTCCATCATGTGTCCCTAGATGGGTGCCTGATTCGGCCTCCCCGCCAGGGCTGGTGGACCAGAGCTGGGTGGAGGGAACGATGATCAGAGAATATTCCTTATCCGACACGAGGGGCCTTCCTGGGACCTCCCCAAAGCCAGAGACACCCTGGAGCTCAACCAGTGACACCCCGCATCTCTCAACCCGACTCCTGGCCCCAAGCAGGGGTGCCGTTCTCTGCTCTGGGGTGCAGAGGCCTTAGCTACCGACTAAGGAGGAGGCTCGTCCCCTCCACAAGCTACCACACACCGGGGACCATTCTGGGCGTCGGGAAAAAGGCCAAAGAGACTCAAGGGAGGCAAGCAAGGCCAAGGCAGAGCCCGGCTGTCCACGCAAGAAGGAGGAAGTGGGCGGAGGGCCCTGGGGAGCACCGTGGGGAGAGGAAGAGGAGGGGAGGTGGGAGAGGCTTCTGCCTCTTGGGGAGGCTGGCGTGGGCCCGGGAGTCTTTAAATGGATGCAGCTCAGACCAAGGCAGATGGCCGGAGCGCTCTGGCTCGGTGTTTCAGCGAGCCCGGCTGGTCCCTCCTGAGGGCAGGAACGACACCTCTGGTTCACGTCTCCCTCTCCGTGCCCAGCACAGAGCGAGCGTTCCTCGGAAGGCAGGTCAGGGCAGCCTAAAAATTAACAAGGCCCTGACCGGTTTGGCTCAGTGGATAGAGCATCGGCCTGCGGACTGAAGGGTCCCAGGTTCAATTCCGGTCAAGGGCATGTACCTGGGTTGCGGGCACATCCCTGGTAGGGGGCGTGCAGGAGGCAGCTGATCGATGTTTCTCTTTCATCGATGTCTCTAACTCTCTATCCCTCTCCCTTCCTCTCTGTAAAAAATAAATAAAATATATTTTAAAAAAATTAACAAGTGTCAGAGGCAGGGGGTGGGGGGACCTCGGCAGACAAAACAAGATCCTGTTAAGATTCGGGCAACCTGAGCCCGGCCAGTGTAGCTCAGTGCTTGGGCGTAGACCTATGGACCAGGAGGTCATGGTTTGATTCCTGGTCAGGGCACATGCCCAGGTTGCGGGCCTTTTCCCCATTGTGGGGCGTGCAGGAGGCAGCCAATCAATGATTCTCTCTCATCATTGATGTTTCTATCTCTCTTTCCCCCTCCCTTCCTCTCTGAAATCAATAAAAATATATTTTTTTAAAAAAGAAAAAGATTTCTACGTGTGCCAGGCACAAAGACCAGGGCCGTAGGAAGACTCCTCTGTGGACCAATGAGCTTCGTCCAGAAGATACATCTAAGACCAGTTCAAGGTGAAGTTGAATTGTGTAGTCAAAACAATATTAATAACGATCACCAGCATGCCTCCTTGCACCCTTGACAAGTGTTTGTCATCGTTAAGTCTGGCTCCTCACTAGGCTGTGTGTGAATTATCCTGTTGACGCTGACATCCCCGAGGAGTCAGGCACCTTGCGCAGACCCATTCTGCAGATGAGGAAACTGAGGCTCAGTTAAGTGAGGGGCTGGCCATAGTCTGGGCACACAGGGCACACATAGTCTGGGCAACAGTCTCACCAACAAGCTGGAAGAAAGGGGGCCAGGCCTCAAAAAGACCAGGTTTCGGGCCACACTACTGCTCTGCGTCCCTCCCAGTGCTCTGAGATATGAACTGTGCGGGGAAGGGTGAGGATTGGGTAACAAGGCACTGACGACTTACCGAATCTTATCTGCAGAGGAGGATAAAAATCTGCTCTGC